CCCCCTTGTGCTCACGCGCCTTCCGCCTCCAGGCCTCTCGCCGAGTCTGTCGGCGGTGCATCGCCGACTCCAGAGTCGACCAGGCTTCAGTCGGGCATGTCCCTCTACAAGAGGAGTATGCGAACATAGTTACAAAAATAGTCAGGGTACGATGTGTTGATAATTTTCCTGTATTTTTTGATTTTTAGTTGAGTATTTTTGATTTTTCGCCCAAAATCCGCCTGTAGGGGGACACGCCCGACCGAAAGCCAGGCTCCACCCCCATCGCCGAGAAAAGATTGTTCCCCGGTGAAAGGGTTGGTTCCCCAGTACAAGGAGTGGTTCCCTGGTGGAGGTTGGAAAGAGTTCCCCGGTGAAGCTTCCCCACTGTGAGGAGCTCTATACCTGCTCCTAGGAGGCCTCTGCGAGGCTCCTGAGAGGCCTCTGCGAGGCCCTTGAGAGGCCTGCACGAGGCCTGGGAATCGAATCTCCTGGAATCGCATAGCCCAGGGCAGACATCCCAAGCTTGACGGCGCGAACAGTCGACGTCTGGCCACGGTCTGAATCCCCCTGAGGGCTGCTCGGAGTTTCTTCTCCTCTTTCTCCTCCTCTTTTCCTCTCTGTGTGTGTGTGTGTCTGTGTGTCTCTGTGTCTCTGTGTGTCTCTGTGTGTGTCTTTGTCTGTGTCTCTGTGTGTGTGTGTGTGTGTGTCTGTGTGTTTTCTCCCCCGCACGAGAGCACTCTGGGCACCCCGCCGACCCCAGATCCCACCCGCAGCAGCGCCTGGGCGGCCTGCCAGGGCACGGGCGCCTCCTCCTCCACGGCCGGCGCAGCGCGCACAGCCCGCCCGGAGGCCGCGCCGAGGAGGAGACGGGCCATCCCGCGCGGACCGGGGCTCCGTGGGCGAGAGCGACCCCTGCAATACAGTCGGGGCGCTGAAGAAGGAACCCTTTTCGTTGGGGAGGGGCTCGGTGTTCCTTGATTGTTGCGCAATTTGCCTTAGGTTTCCCTACGGTTTTCCATGGGGAATCGACATTAACTTTTTGGGAAAAGGGGCATCGTTCCCTATTTAGGGTTCCTTAGGTCAACGGCCCGACTATATGTTCCTCCCATCGTACCTGAGGACAACATGCTTCGAGCACCCGGAAAAGTGCCGAGACAGCGTGCCGAGACAGTGTCGGACGAGCGCCGCCTCCCAGGGCCCGACGCGTTAAGAGGCCCTCGAGCTTCGGCCGTTTCTCTTGGTGCTCGAGATGCTTCCTGGCGATCCAGGCTGAAGAGTCGGCTGGAGCACCAGCACCCCTGCCCTGCCCCAGCCCTGCCCTGCCCCGCCCTGCCCCGCCGCCCCGCCCCTGCCCCGCCCTGCCCCGCCCTGCCGCTCGGCCCTGCCCTGCCCCGCCCCGCTCCGCCCTGCCCTGCCCCGCCCTGCCCCTGCCCTGCCCCGCCCTGCCCCTGCCCTGCCCCGCCCTGCCCCGCCCTGCCCTGCCCCTGCCCCGCCCTGCCCCAGCCCTGCCCTGCCCCGCCCCTGCCCCGCCGCTGCCCCGCCCCTGCCCTGCCGCCCGGCCCTGCCCCTGCCCCGCACCTGCCCCGCCGCTGCCCTGTCGCTCGGCCCTGCCCTGCCCCGCTCGGCTCCCGCCGCCCGCGGGGCCCGCCCGCCCGCTGGCTCCTCCTCCCCCTCTCCTCCTCCTCAAAATTCCTCCTCCTCCTCCTCCTCCTCCTCCTCCTCCTACTCCTCCCCTCGACTTCCCTCCCTCCCTCCCTCCCTCCCTCCCTCCCTCGATCCCTCCTCCCTCCCTCCCTCCCTCCCTCCCTCCCTCCCCTCCCTCCCTCCCTCCCTCCCTCCCTCCCGCCGCCCTCGGCGGCCGGCGGCGGGCGCTTTTGGTTTGGTCCCGCCGCGCCGCCGAGGCCGGGGCGGCCGACGGGCCCGCGGCGTTCACGCGCGCCCCTCGTTTTGAGTCGGGCCTGTCCCTCTACAGGAGGCATATGCAAAAGCACCAAAAAATATAGTCAGGGGACGATTCTGTGGATCATTTTTGTATTTGTTTGGCGTGTTCTGATTTTCTCGTCCAAAATCCGCCTGTAGGGGGACATGCCCGACCCAACCCTCGTTCTGCCGGCTGGTGTGCGCCACGGGAGTGGGGCGAGAGGGGGTCAAGGCTTATGATGTTTCAGCCTACTTTAGCCTTGATCACCAGTAAAGCTTTCGAGCACTATGGGAAGTGCCGAAGCTGGAGGGTTTTCACGCGTCGGGCCCCGGGAGGCGATACTCGTTCGACACTGCTTCGATCTCCTCTAGGTGCACGGAACTATTTCTGGGATGTGGTCCGTAAGTACGATGGGAGCGACATAAGTCGAGGCGAAGATGTGTATTTTTCCATGCGTGCATGGCGGCGCCGCCGCAGAGTCGGATCTCTGGCGGGGGATCGGCACAGATGGTGAGCCTCCCCTGCAGGAGGGAGGAGGGAGGAGGAAGGAGGGAGGAGGGAGGAGGGAGGAGGGAGGAGGGAGGAGGGAGGGAGGAGGGAGGAGGAGGTGTAGGGTGGAGGGTGGAGGAGGGAGGGAGGGAGGGTGGGCTGGGAGGGAGGGGGAGGGAGGGGAGGAGGAGGGTGGGAGGAGGGAGGAGGAGGAAGGAGGAGGAGGAGGAAGGAGGAGGAGAGGAGGAGGAGGAGGAGGAGGAGGAGGAGGAGGATAGGAGGTGGAGGAGGAGGAAGGAGGGAGGAGGAGGAGGTGGAGGTGGAGGAGGCGGAGGTGTGAGGAGGAGGCGGGGGAGGGGGGAGCGCGCCGCCGAGGCGGACGACGGGCCCGTGGTGTTCACGCGCCCCTCGTTCTGCCGGCTGGTGTGCGCCATGGAGGCGGCGTCCCCCCCCGCCCGCCGCGGCGAGACCCTCGGGCGTGCCGAAGAGATCGGCGCGGAGGGCCGTCGCCGTCTGTGGGGTCCCGGGGGCGGGCGGGGCGGGGCCCTGGGGAGAGGGGGTCCCGGGATGGAGAGAGGGCCCCGAGGAAAGGGTCGGGCCTTCCAGGAGGCGACGAGGTGGCAGGATGATGCTTCCGAGGAGGAGGTGGAGGAGGAGGTGGAGATGGAGGAGGAGGAGGGGAGGAGGGGAGGAGGAGGAGGAGGAGGAGGAGGAGGAGGAGGAGGTGGAAGGCGGCGGAGGTGGAGGAGGAAGAGGAGGAGGAGGAGGAGGAGGAGGAGGAGGAAGGTGGAGGATGAGGAGGAGGAGGAGGAGCAGGAGGAGGAGGAGGAGGAGGAGGAGGAGGAGGAGGAGGAGAAGGAGGCGGAGGAGGACCAGTGTAAACCCAAGAGTCATCAACGATGTTGGAGTAACCCCTCCCTCCGAGCTCCCTCTTCATAGGCTCCTACAACGGTTCATCTCCACTGAGGGAACTGCCTCGTCGGAAGACAACCTTTTAAAGATTCTGCATCATGCCAACACATTGTTCTCGGGGTTCCAACGCCACGGATCAACCTGACTTTTGCGTCGTCTTGACGAGACTGAATCGTGCCAGAACGCCATTCCTGGGACTTCAACACCGCGAATCAACCTAACTGTTGCACCCGCATAATCCGGAGTCTTTCCCAATTGCCATTTCTGGTACGTTGATCATGTGGATCCGTGAACATCTTGTAAATGTTAAAAAAAAACGAGTGTGCGCGTCGCTAAGGCGAGAGTCACATTTTGAAAAGGAGCCGCCCTCGATCCGTGAAGCTCTTGTAAATTTGTAAAACGAATGTACGTGGCGCTAAGGCGAGAGCCACATTTTGAAAATTATCCGCCCTCAATCCGTGAAGCTCTTGTGAATTTTGAAAATGAATGTGCGCGGCGCTAAGGCGATAGCCTCATTTTGAAAAGGAGCCGCCATCAATCCGCGAAGCTCGTGCAAATGTTGAAGACGAATGTGCGCGGCGCTAGAAAGCGAGAGCCACATTTTGGAACCAGGTCGCCCTCAAGCCGTGAGGTTCTGGCAAAGCATTACAACGAATGTGCGCAGCGCTCAGGCGAGAGCCACACTTTGAAAACCACCCGCCCGCCATCTGTGACGCTGTTGCCATTTTTCAAGCTTCAGAGCCATCAACTGTGAGGAAGGCTCAGACGAAACGCCATGACCGCCCTAAAAACTGGCCTCGGGGTGCGACAAGGAGAAGTTACGTATAAAGAAAAGGAGTGGAGGAGGAGGAGGAGGGGGAGGAGGAGAAGGAGGAGGAGGAGGAGGAGGAGGAGGAGGCAGGAGGGGGTAGGAGGGGAGGAGGGGGAGGAGGGGAGGAGGAGGAGGAAGTTGGAGTGGAGGAGGAGGAGGAGGGAGGGGAGGAGAGTGAGATGGAGGAAGGGTAGTAGGAGGAGGAGGGATTAGGGGAGGAGGTAGTAGGAGGAGGAGGAGGAGGAGGAGGAGGAGGAGGAGGAGGAGGAGCTGGAGCAGGAGGAGCAGGAGGAGCAGGAGGAGCAGGAGGAGCAGGAGGAGCAGGAGGAGCAGGAGGAGGAGGGGGCCTGCTGTCTTTGCTCGCAGGCGCCCTGCCGGTGCTCGTGGGTGCCGTGCTGGCGCTCGCAGGCTTTATGCAGTCCCCACCCCGCCTGAGCGTGATTGTTTCCCGCCTGAGCTTGTCCCGCTCTGGGGCGTTAGGAACCCATGTGTGTTGCACGCTTGCCCCGCTCTGGGGCGTTAGGAACCAATGTGTTTTCACGCTTGCCCCGCTCTAGGACGCCACATGTCGTCAAGCTTGTCCATCCCGCTCGGGGGCGTTAGAAACCCATCTGTTTTCACGGTTGTCCCGCTCTGGGGCGTTCGGAGCCCACATGTTTTCACGTTGCTCCGGGTAACGACCGTGACGTGGGAAATAGTACAACACAGTTTCTCGGACCGAACCCCCCCCCCTCCCCGTCGCCCCTTCCCCCCCGTCGATCGTGCTGCGTTCACGATGCGAGGCGGGTCTTGGGAGCGGAGCGCGCCGCGCGGCGTGCCGCAGCTGCGCGCCGCGCGCCGCGCCCCTCGGCGAGCGCCCAGGGCCTGTCCATCGCGCCCGGGGAGCGGACCTTCCTGCGGCGGGCGGCGGGCCACTTCGACCGCGTGGCGCGGCGCATCCGGCTGCCCGGCGGCATCCACGGCGGTGCGCGCCGCCGCCCGTGCCGGCGGCGGCGACCACCGCGGCGCCGACGGCGCCGACGGCGCCAGCGTAGGCGCCGACGTCGGCGGCAACGCCGACGCTGACGGCGGCGGCAGCGGCGGCGGCGACGGCGACCACCTGCGCCTTCCTCTGCCGCCGCCTCCGCCCCCCGTCGCCGCCGCGGCCTCCCTCGGCCTCGCCCGCCGCCTCCTCGCTCCCGTGCGCGCACGGGGCGCGCGCCCGGGGGGCGGGGGAGGGGGAGGAGGGGGAGGAGGGGCCGGGAGGCGACCTCTGCCAGGACTCTGCCAGGCGGCAGGAGGAGGGGGATCCCCCCCTGGGGGGAAAGGGGGAGGAGGAGGGGCGGGAGAGGGCGGCCTCTGGCAGGTGCGCCTCGCGCGGCGGTGGTGCAGAGCCTCCGGGACTTGAGATTTGGCTCCAGCGGCAGAGGTATGAAACGGGAACGAGGGAACAGGGTGGGGCAGCAGATGTCTGGCTGTCTTCGGCCTCTGGGGGCTCTTGTTGGCCACAGGGACCGTCGAAGTGCGCTCGGGACGGGAAGCGGGCCCCGGGGGCAGGAGTCGAGGCCTCCAGGGGCCCACGTGCCACAAGACAGCCACACATGACGTCGGAGTTTGGGGGAGGCTGCCCGGGAGCCCCCCGAGTGTTCGGCCCTCAGGTCGGTTGTTGCTAGAAGTACCCCTGGCCCAAGGTACAATTCTCGGGGCTCCAAAATGGAGCGAAAAGCTGGGGGCACCTTGGGCCAGGGGCACTTCTAGCAACACCCGATCAGAAGAGGGTGGGGGCAGGATGGCACGTCGGGGAGACGGCGGCGGCGAGACATCGGGCCGGACGAGAGAGGGGGGAATGGGACACGGGAGGGTCGATATCTGCTTTGTGCAGTTGTCTTCGGCTCCGCCGCCCAGCGCTGCCCTCGATGGCTTTGCTCTTCAGGCGCCGGGGGGCGCGCCCAGAAACCCAGCTGCTGGTGCAGATTCGCGAGCCCTCCCTTGCGATCACGGCATTTCGCCCGCCCCGAAGAGAGGATGAGCGACGGGCCGAGGAGGAGGTCAGGGTCAGGAGTCGGCCACGCGCAGGGGGAAGGGGTTATGGGGGAGGGGGGATGGCTGCTTCTTAGAAGTACCCCTGTTTCTTGGAAGGCGCGGCCCTTGTCCGTAGACGTGGGGCTGGCGCCTTCTAAAGACGCCTTCCCTCCTCCTACCCCCGTGTGCGCGCCGCCAAAGGAGGGCTGCGATGTCTCGGGGAGGCCCCAAGAGGCCTTCGGTCTTCTTGGCGGCCGAGGAGGAGGAGGAGGAAGAGGAGGAGGAGCATGAGGAGGAGGAAGATGAGGAGGAGGAGGAAGAGGAGCAGGAGCAGGAGCAGGAGCCCAGGAGCAGGAGCAGGAGCAGGAGCAGAAGCAGGAGGATATGGAGGAGGTGTACGTGGAGGAGTTTCTGGCTCGCTCTCATATGTCGCTGTCGCACGGGCGCTTGCCGAGCGCGCAGGCACTGTCGTGGGCGTGGACATCGCGCCAGGGCAGGACCACCTCATGGTGAAGCTCTTCGCGTACCTTCTCCACGACAGCCCGGCGTTTGCATCTCTCCCCCTTCTCTTCTTCCTTCCTCCTCACTCCTGCCTCCCTCCTCCCTCCTCTCTTCCTCCAGCCGTCCCGCTTCCCTCGCCCTTCCAATCCCTCTCAGGGGGAGGGAGGGAGGGAGGATTCAGGGAGGAAATGGGGAGTGGAACGGCTACTGAGGAGTAGAGCGGAGGGGCAGGCGAGGAGCTAGAACGCGAACAGGCAGGCCGCCACTACTCTGAAGTCGGGCCTGTCCCCCTACAGGAGGAATATCCAAAGATAGCCAAAACATAGTCTGGGGACGATCTTTTGACAACTTTTGCGCATTCGTCGAGTACTTTTTGACTACTCTTTATTTATGTTTTGCCCAAGATCCCCCTGGTAGGGGGACAGGTCCGACCTGACACTGCTCACATGGAGCATTCACTGTTCAGGAGAGAAAGAAACACACAGACAATGATTCGTCGATTCCCCAGAAAATATAAAAAATATGGGAAGTGGGGGGGAAGACAGAAGCCCAGAAAATATAGGAAAATATGGGGACTATTTTTATTTGTGTGCATTTATTTGTGTGTCCTGGGGCCCCTTCAACTGTGTCCGCCGCTGTGGCTCCTGGCGCTGCCTGCTCGTGCCGGGACGCTGGCCGTGCTGCAGCCTCCCGAGCGCCGCCGCGGTGCGGGGGCTGCCGGGCGCCCGCCTGGCACTGCTCCTCGAGCGCGCCGGATCTCACCGAGCTGGCGTTGGCATCTAGTCGGGCCTGTCCCTCTACAGGAGCCGCCACGGTGCAGCCTCTCGAGCGCCGCCATAGTGCAGCCTCTCGAGCGCCGCCATAGTCAAAAACTAGTATGGGGACGATTGTTGGACTATTTTTGACCTCTTTTGCACTTTTTTGACTTTTTTTTTCATCGTTCGTCCAAAATCCGCCTGTAGGAGGACACGCCCGACCTAAGCCTAGAGGTTGACAACAGCACCGATTTCGGCGGTGTGCCTCCACCGAGGGAGGAAGATCCCGACCTCGGTGATGGTGGTAGTTTTCTGGCCTCCAAGGTGGCCGAAATACTACC